CCCCTGATCCATTGGCAAATTGCTTCGGTACGTTCTTTCAATAATAATAAATTAATGTGACATCTATCAAATTTCAAAGTTTTCTGACTACCACCGACATATTTCATCCTGCTTTGGCCCTTCACCTCAGTCCAATATCCTCCATATTTCAAGACAATAAAGCACACATTGTTGCACTCCATATCTGTAGGTAAAGAAAAAATTACATCAATCAGGAATAGCTTAATGTATAACTACTTAATGTAGATAAACTACAGTACACAATCAAATGAATACCTCCAAGCTTACTGAAATGAACTGCGGTAGATAACTCACTAGCTAACAACCTCCTTGCCTTGCCTTCAAAGCTTCCGTTATTACTCCTTCAAGTTAGCTTCTGTTATTACTCCTTCGGAATCGCAAAATAAACAAGGAGTTTTTCTGTTACATCTTCTCATCCTCCGCAAGTAAAATAGAGAAGGAAAGGAAAATACCTAATGCGATCGCCTGTGTCACCACTAGCAAAAAATGCCGTTGTTTAGTAGGATTCGCAAAAGGAGCATAGAATCTGCACGAGATTCGCGAACTGTGCGATTCAAACCGAGAGAGGAAGATGCTCTGCACGAGATTCGCGAACAGGGCTTCCCGCGCAGTTTCGCGGTTTCCTTTGACGGGAGTGGAACGGAGTGCTAGTTTTGATGAGGGATAAGCTTTTTAAGTGGTGTATATGTAAATAGGAAAGTTTAGGTGTTAGATATGTAAATAGGAAAGTTTAGGTGTTAGATATGTAAATAGACTTGTTTTAAGTGTTAGGTATGTAAAAATCCCTAAAAAAAAATAGAAGTCGGAATTTGGCTTTCCGGTTCTCCTAATTTCTAAATTTTTGACTCCGTACGATCCTGCTTATAATTAAAAATTTTACATTGCTGTTTATACGAAAATGGCCCGTACTTCTTTTCTCCGTCGTAAGCGGCGCCCACTCTCCGGTCTCCAACTCCTGAATCCTATAAATTCTTTCATACATCACGCAAACTCCTCACTCGCATTTGCTGCTACAATCAAATTAAGCAACCATCCATCATGGCCTTCTCACCCTTGCGCATCTCCGTTCGCCGGCGACAGCCAGAATTGGTAGCTCCATCGTTTCCGACGCCGCGAGAGCTCAAACGGCTGTCGGACATCGACGATCAGGAAGGCCTCCGCTTTCAGATCCCCATCATCCAGATCTACCGACACAATCCTGCCATGGCCGGCCGCAATCCGGCGGCAGTCGTACGTGATGCGCTTGCACGAGCACTCGTCTTCTACTACCCCTTTGCTGGCCGGCTCCGAGAAGGATCCGGCAAGAAGCTGTTCGTGGATTGCACAGGCGAAGGCGTTCTGTTCATCGAGGCCGAGGCTGATGTGAAGCTCGAAGACTTCGGTGATGCACTGCAGCCTCCATTCCCCTGCCTCGAAGAGCTACTGTTCAACGTTGACGGATCCTCCGCAGTGCTTAATACGCCTTTGCTGTTGATTCAGGTGACCCTGTTAAGCTGCGGGGGATTCATTTTTGCCATCCGTCTAAACCACACCATGTCCGACGCGCCAGGATTTATGCAGCTAATGACCGCCGTGGGAGAGCTAGCTCGAGGATTGCCGTCGCCCAGTGTTATTCCAGTCTGGCGCCGAGAGCTCCTGGAAGCACACCCGACTCCGACGCCTTCCTTCCCCCACCGCGAGTACGAACAGGTTCCCGACACAGAGGGCACCATCATCCCTCTCGACGACATGGCTCACCGTTCCTTCTTCTTCGGCCCCCGCGAAATAAGCACCCTCCGTTCTAGCCTACCTCCGCAGCTTCGCCGCTCATCCTCCACCTTCGACATTCTCACCGCGTTCTTATGGCGAAGTCGCACCGTCGCCCTTCAAACCAGCGACCCAAACGAAAACTTCCGCATCATCTGCATCGTCAACATCCGCGGCCGCTTCAACCCTCCTCTGCCTTCCGGCTACTACGGCAACGCCTTCGCCTTGCCGGTTTCAGTAGCCACGGCAGGGGAACTGTGTAACCGCCTCTGGCTTACGCAGTGGAGCTAGTGAAGAGGGCAAAGTCGCAAGTTTCAGGGGACTATCTCCGTTCGGTGGCTGATTATATGGTAAAGAACGGTCGGCCACATTTCACTGTGGTACGGACTTATGTGATGTCTGACGTCAGGCGTGCGGGATTTGAGGATGTAGATTTTGGATGGGGAAAAGCGGTGTACGGTGGTCCGGCGAGAGCGATTCCTGGAGTTGCCAGTTTCTTTGTCCCTTTTGTTAACGCGAGTGGAGAGAAGGGGATTGTTGTTCCCATTTGCTTGCCGCCGCCTGCAATGCGGAGGTTCGCCGTCGAGATACAGAACCAACTCACGGCTCAACATGGAGGAGACGAGCAAGTAGTGGAGGCTGATAATAATAATCACAAGGATCAGCAGAAGCCCTTCTTACGGTCTCATATCTGATCTTCTTACGGTCTCATATCTGATGGATTTTGGCTTTCGGCGACTATAAGATTATCTGTTACGTTTGGTTTTATTAGTAAGTTTGAAGTTTTAAGTAAAAAATGTTTAATCTCCCTTTTGAAAAGAATCCAACGCAGGACTTTTATCAATAATAGCAAGCCAAAGCTCCTTAAATTTATCATTTGATCATCTACGTCACTACTCGAGCATTTTTTTTTGTTTTTTTACTCGAGGAAAATTTCCTATTTAACTCTCACAGGAACTCCTCCATTTTCAATGTGAATCTCATTCCAATGACAAATGAAATAAATCAACATATTTATTTAAAAATCAAGAAGCAAACTTTTGATATAAATTCTAGAGTAAAGAGATTGTTAAAAAAGATCAACTATTATCTCCTAAAAAGTTGGAGTCATGTCTTTTGTAACAAATATCCTGCATTCTCCTATTTTCAAGTTCATTTATCGATGCCATGTTGACCTACAACAATGCTCGTTTATCAATAAAGAAAGAATATCATCATTATTTTAATATTTTTTTATAAATAATTATTTATGTTAATTTAAAATAAAATTAATATAATTTAAATTTAATAATAATAATAATAAAGAATAATTAATATTTTTTATTAATGTCACTGAAGATTTAATAAAATTTTAATATTAATCCTAAAATAGTAATTTTTCTATATTATTAAATTTAAGAGTTAAATTACTATTCTATAAATTCTAAGAATATTTACTATTATATAAATTTTAAAATCTTTACAAACATAACATCAAGCCTTTGTCCATCACATAATACTTATATTTCAAATAAAAATAAAAATATAAAAAAAATTCTACAAATATTTTACTATTTATGTAATATAAAATAAAAGAATTTAAATAATAATAAAATTTTAATATAAAAAATAAAATAAAATTTCATAATTTAGTTTAAATAAGAATAAAAATTATAATATTATAATTAATGATTTAAAAAATAATAAAAATGAATATTAAATAAAAAAATATAAATATAAAAATTAAAAAAAATATAAAAATATATAAAAAAATAAATATATAAATAATAAAATATTAAATTTCCGTTATACAAATCCATAAAGACATTTTTCTGGTTTCTAATAAACGAAAAATATTATTATTTATATAATTTTTAAATTCTGATTTTTTGAGAATTCAAAAAATAATTTCCGTTTAAAACCGAAAATATTTCAGATTTACGACCGTATTACATTTTTTACTCTTGAAACACGTAAAATGATATTACATTCGCCCTTTTAAATTATAATAATTCTGTCCTATATCTAATTTTAATTAATAATCAATTCCTTTTTAAAATTTTCTCCTTATGGTCCACTCTTTCGCCTGGAACTCTAGAATCATCAAATTTTGTTTTACTGAAAATTATAAACTAAAAATTGATAAAAAAAAAAATACATAAAAAGAAAAAAAGACGAAAGACCAAGAATTATAGTTTAAATGGCCATAATTTGAAAAATAATTTCATCTATGTTTTATAGAAAATGTTCAAATGCTGCTACAAAAATTATTAAAACTAATAGAGCACATTCAAAAATCAAAACTATAAATAGGTCACAAGCTCATTACTCCATATAGATACAAACTATCTTCTATGAAAGTTCGGAAATAACACGCTCACACTTTTCTTCCAAGATCTTCACAGCTTCTGTAAATAATACCTCCGCAGGTAAAGCACCAGTTGACTCCACAGTAACTACAGCCAAGTAAGAATGAATTTCTCAATATATAAGAGGATAGAGATCTATTTATTGGGTCAGTTAACCTGATGTAGAGATACATTCCTATATCAGTACCCAATAAAAAAATGCCACATGCACTTAAAACAAAAATAAGTGCATTGTGACTTTTTTTATTGGTACCTGATGTATCTTATATTTACGGTACCTGACCATAAAAATTTAAAGCGCATGAAATAAGAATTAGAAAGTACTCAAACAACTTTTGAATGTCTCAAAATACTTTGATTCAGAATTAAATTTTTTTAATTTATTTTGGATTAATGTAAACCATAAATAATCAATTAATTTTTATGCTAAATACTCCTCCAAGAAAAGAAATATTGTTTAAAACTCATACACTATTTAAATTTTAAATCAAATATTATGATTTTTTTTTCTCCTTTCAAAAAGAAGCAACTATTTCAAATATGAAGGCAGTTTTACTAAAATTGCCAGTAATACAGCACCTATGATGCACGACACTCCGTTTTAAGAGAAAGTGCAGTGTTCGGACACCGTGTCGGACACGGCTCGACAACCGCGCGGAACCGAGGAACGTGTCCGACACGTTTTGAGCAGTGTCCATATTTTTTAAAAAAACCTTTAGCGGACAACGCTGTGTCCGACTATTTCATATTTTAAATAAAATAAAAATAAAAAACATTAAAGCATAAATGCACCGGTTCACTCTATTTTTATCCCTAATCCCGCATTTTTCCGGCTGTTGCTTTCATGGAGCGAAGGAGCATTCCGGAGGCTCTTCTTGACGAGCCGTGACAGCGAGCCGACACTTCTTTCAACGCATTCTTCCTTGTGCGTTCCTCTGAGTGAATCGCACGCTAATAATTTCGAGTAAGTTAATTTTGGATTTTGATTTTATTTTTTTTTTTTCCATTCATCTTCTCTCAATTTTTTATCATTTATTCATGGATTTTTGTCACAAGAGCATAGTTTGTGGGATTTTCTCTTATTTTTCCCTAATCAAACTAGGTGTATGTAGGTTTTTTTTTTTCTTTTGATTTTGGTTGAAAGAAAAAAAAATGGTAGAAAGTTATACCATGTGAACCTACTTCTTGTTTTTTACTAAATCTTCATTTTTAGGGTTTTGTGAGCAAAATTATGAAAATTCTATTGTTGCTTTATAAAATTAGGAATATAGAATTTTTATCTGAAATTTACTCTATAGTTACATAAATTATGGTGGAACTCTAAAGCGTTGGCTAGATTTGATTTATGAGTTGATTATTATGAAAGTTAGTTTGACTGCTTAGTTAATGTGTGTTTGCCAAAATATATGAAACCTTTGAGTGAACATGATTAACTTAATCTGGAATGTTGATGATCATTGTAAGCATTAAATTTGCACTAAAAATTGTGCAGCAAAGAATACAGAGGCAAATGAAATCATTTATGCTGAAGTAATTTGGATACAGTGGTTGCAGATGATGCTTTGATCAGAAATTTTATTATGAACGCAATTAATGAGACTTTCAATGTTTAATGACTTCTCACACTTGAGAATGTTAGCTGTTGATTGAAACTCGTTTTGCCTCTGTAATAATCATGTTAGAGAAGATCAAAGCAAATAAAAATGCTCTTCAATTATGGTGATTAGTGATAAGGTGGTCTATGCATCGAGAACGATGAGTTGGTAAGGCAAGTATTGTAAAGAAAAGATCTTAGATAGATTTGGTGTGGTGGGATAATGTAGAACTAATTTTGGATTTCACTGATCCCAATCTATGAATATTGTTGAGGAGACTAGCAGCAGAATAAATCATGTCTACATGTTGATTTATGAGATGTGGATTTTATGTTAGCAAAAGTGAAAAAATTATTTACATAAAAGACATGAAAGAAAGTTACATGAAGAAGACTTCAAATTTTTGGAGTGTTTCTATAACCATCTGAGGATTGTGGAGCAAAGCACACACCTTTGCATTTTGCTCATTTCATTAAATCAAGGATTCATATTCATCTTAAATAATTTAAAATTTCTTGTTATGGAACATGTAATTTTATTAGATTTGTATATTTGAAGTATTCGTAAAGAATGGTTCTAGAAGACCCTCACGGTTTCACCACAAAAAAAAGATTTAGAAAGTTTTCAAATATGAGAAAATTATGCTTGAAAACATATTTTTTCCAAATGAGATATAAGAAGAAAAATTAATATAGAACTTGCAAAGTTCTTTGGATATTTATAGATTTTGTATCAGAACTTGGTTGATAGATGGAGGATGGATCCAAAAATGTGGTGGTTAATTCATGGAGCGTCGGCGCCTCTTCTACAAACAATAGCAATAAAACTTCTTGGTCAAGTATTATCATCTTCCTGTTGTGAGAGAAATTGGAGCACATACTCATTTATTCAATCAATGAAAAGGAATAAAATAACTCCACAACGAGCTGAAGATTTAGTTTATGTGCATACAAATCTTCGTCTTCTATCAAGGAAAATCCCACTTTATATGACAGGTGATAACAAGATGTGGGATGTTGCTGGAGATGGGTTCGAGTGCCTTGATGATATGGGATTATTGGAGGTTGCAAATCTTTCTTTAGATGAACCAGAGTTGGAAGCAATGATATTCAATAATGATGATATTGAAGGCCAAAGACCAACCTCTGAATCTAATTCTATCATTCCCTCTATTGAGTAGTTGAACTTTCATGTTGTACTAAATGGTTTTTTGGTTATATTTTTGTGGTTATACTAGACATTTTGTACTAAACATCTTTATGTTATAAGCTAAACAAGTTATCATGACTTTGATTTAATATTGATTGCCATTTTTAATATAATATTACCTTAATTTCTATACATTATATTTAAAATTATTATGTCGTGTCCACGCCGCACCCGTGTCCTATATTTTTAAAAAATGTCGTGTCCCGTGTCCGTGTCGTGTCGTGTCCGTGTCGCCGTGTCCGTGTCCGTGCATCTTAGTACAACACTATCCAACTCGTAACCGACAAAAGTATTTAATATGTTGATGCAACAAGTATAAAGTTTATTTTATCCAAATCTTTTGCAAAATCTCTAGCCATACTAATTACTACCTTCGTAACCCTTCCACATTAATTGTCTATACAGTATAAATACATGTATATTCTACTCTATATGAAACATTACTAATACAACTAAGGCTTCGTTTGAAAAAATTTTCTTACTTGCTTTCTACAATAACTTTCTAGTACAAAAAATTCCTAAAAGTAATAAAAAACAGTGGCTGAAACCTATCACAAACAAAGCCTAAATCCATTTTCCATTATCTTAAATTTAATAATTGCACACCCTCCCTCTAATAATTTCACAATCACCATTGATAATTAGGCCGCACATTCATCTTTACCACTCACTTCCATCACAATTAAGCTAATAAAAACTCTATCATTGCCTAACACTGATCCAATCGAATTATAAATTTATTACATTTCATTAAAAATCTTCATATGATATTCAATCTATACAACATATTTCTGATGTCAATTTTAACCACTGTTGTTCATTCTAGAAATTATATAATCTACAACCTTACACTATCACACCTTGACGTTACTTGATCTTCAATAATAATAACTAATAAACATCAAATTTTATGACCACTGAAATCACATATCACATGCACTGCCTTTGTTATATTTATTCTAGGTTGGCTATCTTCTAAAGATTTTTCTTATTTTTCTAGATTTTCATTTACTTTATTAAAAGCTTCACCTATTAAAACTATATCATCTAAAAAATAAATTACCAACAGACAACCCTTAGAATATAAGTAATGCTGCAATGGCAAAAAATTTGATTGAATGGAGGGAATTTTCAATATTTTCATCCTTTTTTATCTTTATAGGTGCACCAAGGAAGCCATCTTTTTCATAATTTCCCTGCATGTTGTAGAATCTATGGCCAACCTTTTCAATAATGTAAATGCATGGCTTTTAAAATCGAAATGGACTGGCCGGTTCAAACGGTTGAAGCGCGAACCGGCCGGCCGACCAGTTATGGTTCATATTAAAACCGCTATCACATAAAACCGGTGTTGAACTGCTAGAACTGGCAGTTCGACTGTCGAACCAGTCCCGGTTTTAGATAATAGTCCCCGTTTAGCAAAAATAAGAAGATCCGACAGCTAAGATGCGAAGGCGGCAAAGCTTTATACGATAGCGGAAAAAAAAAAAAAAAAAAACCTATTTCATTCGTCACGTATGTTCTTTGTCCTGTTCGCCTTTTCTTCTTCGGCTCTTCCCGTCTCGCGGCGTCTCCTTCTCATTCGCAAAGCCAACGGTACACCTTCCTGCTCCTTCGCAAAGTCAGAACTCAAAGGCCATCACAGTGTAGTCCTACTCGTTCGCGAAGCCAGAAGCCAAGTCTCGCTTGTTTTGGTTTGTTTCTTTAGTTTTTTTTTTTCCCAAAATCCAAAAACATGAATGTATTTTTTATTTCATGTATGTATATTTCTTTAATTTCAATTTCCTATTCTGAAATGCAAAATATTTTTTCAAAATTCAGCTCGTTCGGCGTATCTTCTTCGGTCTGAAACTTCTTCTCTGGTTTCGAAGGTTATTAACTTATTATTGTGTACTTTTTAAGTTTATTTATATTTTCATTTATTTGCTCTTGATGATTTGATTCATGTCTCTCGTAATTCCCATCAACCTTCTCTATTTACCTATGAATTTTCTTCACTTGCTTCTATCAATTGCAGATGCCCCTGAACATCGAAAACTTCCCCTATCGATCCATCACACTGCATTTGTGAAGGGAGACCACACAAACTTTGAGATTGACCCAGCAAATGGAGTGGAAGCCACCCAGCTCTATCCTGATGCCAAGTACACGACTGTGGATGAATATCTTAACAGGTTACTTCAGAATTTCTTCTATGTTTTCATCAAATAAGAGTTGGTAAATTAGTATGCGTTCATGATTTGTTTGATAGCAGAACCCAGTCTTGCACTTCTATATCTTTTG